AAAAAAAAAAAAAAAAAAAAAAAAAAAAAAAAAAAAAGGCCTTGGATGAAGCAGGGTCGCGAAAGAAGGGCGGGAGGAAGGGGGGAAGAATAAGAAAAGGAATTGGAAGGGGAAAAACAAAAGCCCAAAATCCGACCCCCGCTGCAAAAGGTTTCGGGAAGGGGAAGCGTCCATCGGTGTGGTTTGTATGGGCGAGAAAAAGCGGCGAAGTTTTGGGCGAAGCTGTTGTGGAAATACATTTCCTTTGGGGCGGCTCAGGACCGTTTTGCTGCTTTATTTATTCTTTCTTTGGGGAGCCCCCCTCTCCCGGTTCTTTGGTTCGAAGTCATGCTCGTCCGTGAAGTCTGCTTCCTACTTTTTTCCTTAAGTTTTCCCCTCTTCTTCGGAAAACAGAAATCTTACGAAGGGCTGGGTATCGTGTAAGAAAGAGGTCGCTGGCATGTTGAGTGGTTGAGAGGGTGCGCTGTATACTTAGCGCTCCTGGAGTTCCAAAAAAAAAAGGGGGAGGGGGGGAGAAAGAATGCATTCATCACCGACGTTTCTTTTGGAAGGAGCCCGCCGGTTATCGCGAGACGATGCAGATGTGCGGAACGAGGACGGGCCAGGACGGTTGACTGTAGAGGGGAAGGCTGCGCGATCGAAGACGTCCACTGTCAGTCGGGATGATGGTTGGACATGGCCAGATCCGGAAAAGCAACAAGCAGACGGGCTCAAGCACGGGGTGAGAGAAGAAAACGCAAAAGAAGAAGAGCATGGAGATGCCTCTTTGGTGGGTTGGGACGGCGACGACGACCCGGAAAACCCGCAGAACATGAAGCAGTGGAAGAAGTGGATGGTCACGGTGTCCATGGCTTCGATGACGCTCTGCATCACCTTCGCGTCCAGTATTTTCAGCACGGCGACGTCGGCGACGGCCGAGGAGTTCGGCGTCTCAACGGAGGTGACGACGCTCGCCACGTCGCTGTTCGTGCTCGGCTTCGCGTTCGGGCCTCTGATCTTCGGACCCATTTCGGAGCTGTACGGAAGGACCAGGCCGCTGTTCACAGGCTTCGCTGTCTTCGCCGTCTTGAACGTGCCCTTGGCCGTCGCCCGGAACCTGGAGACCGTCCTCGTGTGCCGCTTCTTCGGTGGCGTGTTCAGCAGCGCGCCGCTGGCCGTGGTGGGCGGCGCGCTGGCCGACATGTGGGATCCAGTCAATCGCGGCATCGCAGCGGCCGTGTTCTCGGGCGCCACCTTCGTCGGCCCCGTGCTGGGACCCATCCTCGGCGGCTTCGTCACGGACAGCCCGCTTGGGTGTAAGTAAACCCTTTTCAACACATGGCAGGTTCTGCTCATCGCTAACGTGCGGTATGGACGAAACAACAGGGCGGTGGACGGCCTGGCTGATCATGATCATGGCCAGCATGTTCGGCTTCCTCGGCTTCTTCACAATCCCCGAGACGTACGCGCCGGTCCTGCTCCAGCGGCGAGCAAGGAAGCTCCGCTACCAGACAAAGAACTGGGCGCTCCACGCCAAGTCTGAAGAGGAGCCCGTGGACTTGAAAGTGATCGCCGAGAAGTACTTGCTCCGCCCATTCAAGATGATCGTCATGGAGCCAATCCTGATCCTGGTCACGATTTACATGTCCGTGGTAAGCCAAAAGAACAGTTAGAGAATGGAGTTGGGGGCGTGTAATGTTTTCCTCTTGCAAAGGGCAAAAAAAAGCTGAGATGTGTCACACAGATCTATGGCATCGTGTACCTGTTGTTCGAGGCATATCCGATTGCTTTCCAAGAGCAGCGAGGCTGGAACGAAGGCGTCGGCGCGTTGCCTTTTCTCGCCCTTATCGTCGGCGTCGTTTTTGGTGCCTTCATCATCGCCTATACTTGCAAGACAAGTTTCAAGCGAGCTCTTGAGAAAGAGGGTCGCGTCATACCGGAAGCACGGCTTCCTCCCATGATGATCGGCGCCTTCGTGTTCCCTGCTGGCATGTTCTGGTAAGCAGCAGAGCATCCGAAAAAAAAAAATTGTATCTTTGTGCTTAGAAAAGTAAGAAGAAGGTGAAAGAAGAGAAAATAATGCTAATGAATTGCTTCTTCCTGGCTAGGTTCGCATGGACGTCTGGTCCCAATCTCCCATGGGTACCTCAGGTCGTCGCCGGGGCGCCGATTGGCATGGGCGTCCTATTGATCTTCTTGCAAGGCTCGTCTATATGATAGCCAGGCCTGCACAGTCGCCGTTCTGATTTTGATTTAGGGATGAATTATATCATCGACGTCTACGGCGTGAACACGAATAGCGCCCTTGCCGCAAATACGTTCTTCCGCAGTGTAATGGGAGCTTGCTTCCCCATGTTTGCCGTTAAAATGTAAGTCCAATCGGTCCCACACATTGAATGTATAAATACTTTCTTTTTCTTCTTCAGTTTATTTTTTTTTTCTAAGAAAAAAATTGACAGTACAAAAAGGTTCCGAAATCTAGGGGTCCGTTGGGCAACTAACTTGCTGGGTTTTCTGACAGTTGCGTTGATTCCCGTACCGCTCCTGTTCTTTCAATACGGTGCGAAGATACGGAAGATGTCAAGGTACGCACCTAACGCGTGAAATATAAGGTAGCAAACACACTGTAGACTATTATCTTGACGATCCTGACTATGGTAAAATGTCTTTAAGTCTCCGGGCCCAACATACTATTTCCGTCAAATCTCGTTATCTTGCGTGCAATAGCAAGCTCGTTTGGTATTCATCATCAACTGACACCACGCTCCTGTCTCAAGGCAGGACATCTCTGATGGCATTGGCAACGTCGAATGCAGATTTGCGGTAGTAAATCATTACTTTCTTCTATCATATCGCTAACACACGTAGGAGAACAAATGACAGTCATATTCAAAGTACAAATTTTGACCATCCTGAACAGTAATCAGCAAGTAAAACATACAATGTCTTCATGATGCTCCCACATCTTCATCCGAGTGTGCCAGCCCCCGTACGATGGATGCTCTGCTTCGCCGGATCAGCCGGCTTTGCAGCATCCTTTGGTGGGGATGATGGTGGAGGATGGCCCTTTGTCCAACTATTCCACATGCTTCCAAGGAACCCTGGTTTCTGATAAGCTTCTGTCTGGCTCAAGCGGCGAGCCATGGAAGCTTCATCGTTTGGATTGCGCTTGAGGTTCATAAGGTTGGCGAATGTGCCGGAGGACTGCAGATTGGTCACGTCAGTAGCAGTTTAAACAGTTCTCTGGCTGCCGTATCATGCTGCCGTCGAGCTGCCAGCCAACAGATAAGGGCACAGGGACAGCAGGTTGTGGTGTGCGGAGGGCACTGGAAATCTGCTCACCCGACGTCTCTCGCCGCTATTTGGAGATGACATGATGGTTTGCTCAGTAGCCCGTGCCGTCAAGACGACGATTAGTTAGTTCAGGAGATGCTTCACACTCGTGTTGCTCTGGTTTAACGTTTTTGGTAAAGAGTAGATGAACGTGAGCGGACAAAATAATGGGCAGTTAAGCTTTTTATGAATGAGGGGCAGGGCCCTCGCCTTATTCATCACATTGCAGCTATGGGACCTTTCGGGCGTGTGACAATGATATCAGGGATACCAGAGGGTCCACTGGAGAGAGCGCCTAGAGTGGACCTGTAACGACACGGCAGTCGCGGCCAAGGCTGCTGGTGACTGGCTGTTGCGGGGTAGCGCTTGCTCAGCCTTGCCAAACTTTGCGGGGAAAGAGCGCCCAGTTCACTGGGTTGCTCCTTCGTCTCCACCAGCGTGGTCCCCGCCAGCTATTTGCTCCCACATGATCTGTGCGGGTGCGAAGTTGTCATCTAGACACGTATTCTGGTGTAATGCATGACGGGAGCCTTCGCCATGTTGCTTGCTTGGACGACGGTTCTCATCGATGCTGGCTCACTATGGAGCTGTCACGAGAAGTGATGCCGATCGTGCAAACATCAGTGATGAATCTATGAAATCATCGGCTCCACTGAGCCACGTCCGTGAGCAGTAGCTGATCCCAGCTCTTCTGGCACATACCGAGCGAGCTAAGCCTTAGCTCATTCAGTGTACAGATCAGGAGATGCCTTGGACACGCCAGACAACACTCTGATTCTGATGCGGATATTGCACGAGTGTCACTGGCTGGTTTCTCGCCGCACTAGCTTCAAGACCAGAGGATCATAGCGCACAGACAAGAATCACTCCACTGTTTCTCGCTTGGAAGAGGGCAAGCTTTCGGCCTTTATCACTCAGACTGCAAGGGAATCCTCAGCGTAGAACATCGTCGCTGAAGTTGGGGCAATGATCACCAGGAACGCAAAAATGCTAGCCAATAATCCTTTGTCATTACTCTCGTCAAGTCGTGTTACTATGCAATTTATAAAGTCCCGTGACGAAGCTCGAAGAAATATTCTCAAAGGGAAGCTAATGATCAAACAAGGAAGAAATGGAGAAGGGAAGAAATGAATCTACAACCGAAAAAACTCCAACCGATGCCGCCGACGGTCCGTAAGTTCAAAGATGATGGTGGCAGCTTCACCACCCCAATGCTCTCCAGAAATCTGGTGGGAAGCGAGATACTTTGTCAGCTCAGTAGACGCAAGAGAAAGCCACTCGGCTGGGAGGCCGAGGCATCAGAGCCACGCATCAACAGCGTCCTTACCATCAGCGGCCTTTTCGCCTCCCCTTGTCAGATCAATGTCCAAGTTCAACTTTGGCGGCGCCTCGAGCTGTGGCGGTCGCTCCATCTTTTTGGCAGGACTCTTTCTTGGACTTGTCTTTCGTGGGCTCGTCTCTTCTTTAGGCGGTCCCTGTCTCACCTCCTTAACGTCCCAGCCGTCGCACACAGCCGCCGCCACCCATGTTCGCAAGACATCGTGTACCGCGCCGTAGTACTTCTCCTTACACTGTCTTAGTTTCTCACCCATCGTGCGCTCAAATCCTGAGGCACGAAGTTCCTCACGAAGAGTATTGCGTTCTTCACGCGTAGGCAAAGACGCGATGAGGCCATTGAGGAGGTCGATATGAGTGGCGAGATAGTTTGTCGCATCCCATTCAACGCCGCCAATATAGGGCGCTGCAGGGACGGGTGGACGCGGACGCGGGAAGAACTCGCGAGTGTATGACTCAGAGGACAGTTCGCGTGGCGGTGGGCACTTGCGGACCGTTGGATGTTGGTCAGGTGTCAAGCAGCCCGTCGATTCCACCTGAACGTCGACATGCGGGTATGGTATCAGGTTCAGTGGGTGCAGCCAGACCCAAAACACCTCCTTAGTTACATTGGAGACTTCACGGTTCCAGATCTTGTATGGTCGCCTTGGCCCAACTTCTAGGTCGAAAGGCAGAGGATTGCGCTTGTCGGGATGGGTTTGGTCCGCAAGGTACGACAGTATCGTCCTAGCACGGGAAGGAAGAATATCTGGCGTCCGAACGGCAGCCTCGAGATGAGCCAGGAGAATATTGAATACGATCTGACGCGTAGTAAATTCACTTGGGCCACGATGTTCCTTGTCGAACAGCATAGCGAGCAAGGCAGGGAAAAGCGTGCTCTCAATCTCACACAGCTTTTGCAGTGCAAGGTCAGTTGTGCAGAGTGCCTTTAAGCACAAAAGCGCTTCATTTAAGAGCTGATCATCTCTCTCCTCCCTGGTATCAGTTAGAGCAGAGTCTACCAAACAGGCGACACGAATCTCTTACCTCCATTCAATCTCCATAAGCCGATGGATGAGATCGACCAGGCTGGACATGCCACCTAGCTCGATGAACTTGTTTACCCACGCCACAGTCTCGTTGCGAAGCAGCTGCCTTAGTTTGTGCAGCTTGCCCACTTCAGCATCCTGCGGATCAGGGTGCTTCTGCAAGTACTTAACGTAGTCCTCAGCTACATTCTTCTTCACAAAGTTCGCAAAGTACGAGCCGGATGGCGCTGCCGGCGATGTGGATAGCAATGTAGGTGAGGCCAAGTTCGGTTGCGATGTGTGTTTCATATCAAGAGATGAGTCTGTTCTCTGTTTCTTGGTTGGCGACGTTGCAGAGTTAGTCTTGTCGTTCTTCTTGAATGTAAACGTTCGACTACGCGGTCTGGACTTCTTCGATTCGGACTTTGCATCTTCGTCCTTCTTCGACAAGGACGACGTATTGGAAGCAGTTTCCTCGATCGGGGTTACCTGTTGGCATACACCTGCCGTGTCTGAGTGGAATGATCTTTCTGAGCTTGACGAGTGCCCTCTTGAAGCTTCAAGGTCCTGCTCGTAAGACCGTAGCAACGCTTGTTTGACGTGTTGATCTAGTTCGCGCATTTGTTGACGCACAAGGTCCGGAATATTTCGCGCTTCCTGGGATAATACTGTTAGTATTCGAGGTGGTTAAGGGCCGATTGAGTCAACTCCCATACCAGCATAGCATCGAAACTCGCAGCAAACTGTTCCGGGTCGACGGGTTGCTCATCACGGGTCTTCACCGTCCGTCTGTTAATGCGAGCAACAGCTTCCCGCACTCTCGATCCACTTGAGGCTTCGTGTTCTTGTGTTCCGCTCTTTTGATCAGCAATCTCATGGCTCCTCGAAGCAGATCTCTTGACCATATCCTGCTGCTGCTTCCTGGATTCCCCTCCATCGATGTAGGACATGGGACGTCGCCCATTGCTAGGCTTCCGCGCGGCAGGTTCTGCTAAGAAGCGGCCCAACGCGTGATCAGAGATGACCTCTGACTTGGGACGAATAGGGTTGGCCACCTTTGCGTCATAGCCGTAGAAGTTACGCTGGTGTGATTCTACCATCCTCTGCGGATTGGGGTCGTACAGAGCAATCTCTTCGATAATTGCTCTTTTTTTCTCTCTATCGTTGAGGGGGACCGTTGTCGTGCTAGTGGCTTCTTGATGTTGCGTTGTAGCGTAGGCGGCGTAGATGGGTGTGTGAATCGCAGGCTGAATTTGCTTCTTCGGAGGTGTCGAGTTCTCCTTGTCGCTGTGACAGGTTTCTTGTTCAGTCTCCCTCGAGGATCTGCCTTTGAACATGGATGTTAAGCCGGTGGAGGACTTCTTTCCGGGCGACTGCTCGCCACCTTTTTCTTTTCTCCGAGTCGTAGACTTTGGCGTGTCCGTTCCCTCTTTCGTTTTCTCGTCCTTTGACTTCCCCAAAGATCTGAGTGAGACGGCACTCTTCGTGCGTTTGTGTAGGCCTTTGAATGATCTATCCTCGCCCGACGCAGGTCGCCGTGGCTGAGCGGTGTTGTGATTCGATTCAATCTCGCCCAGCACCTTCTGCTGGGCATGAGGATGATCTGGGGGTAAGAATGGCATGTTCGTACCAAGCTGTGCGGGTAGGTGTGTTGTAGAACCCTTATCGTCTCGCTTGCTGGCCTTCGACACCATAGACTTTAGCACAGCGGATCTGTTGCGACGATGCTCCTTTACAGGAGAAGATATTGCAGGCTCCATATTGACAGTGCCGCAATCGAGTAAGGATTTGTGCTGCAAACACTGCGCATCAACGTTGTAAGGGCATTTGAGGGTTTTGGTTGCCTCTGCGGAGATGGCGTCGCCCAATGTTTACCCTTCGTTGCTATGTGACGACCAGCCGTTAGACCCTGGTCAATGGGTGGTTCGCTGCGTCGCAGATGCGGGGATGCCTCAGGCCGGCCCCGCCCTGCTGCTCCCCGTGTACTCCGCAGTCCTGTATATCTTGCCATCGTAGTACGGATTTGAACTTGAAGAAAATTCCATTTATGTCCAAAGGGTGTTCTGATCATGATTTCAAGATCGACTCTTCAGCACCTCTTCCGTCCCGCACGTTTCAAACTCTTGCGGGTAGAGATGAAGCCCGTTTGTGCTTGTTCAACAGCCTCAAGTTGGAGTAGAGCAAACAAACTCTTTAATATTCTCCCCTTTTCTGAGCTAAACGCTCGTTCCTAGAATAAAGATTACGCTAGATGTTTGATCTGAGCTCTTATTCCACTACCAACAAACAAAATCAGAAGGCAACTTGCAATCAAACGATTTATTCGAATGAGGCAGCACTCCTTGAGAAGTCCTTGAAATTCATTCCCCGCCGTCTACGACACATTCGTAATAATGACTCTTTCTGTCTATGTTTGTTGGTATTCAGCGTTTATTTCGATTGCTATTTTACCTATCTCTTTGTCGCGAGCACGGAGTCTAAGGGGCCTTTGTCATTGGCTAACTTATGCAAGAATGCGCTGGTAAAATCTTAGCTCAAGTAAACGGGTAGAACCAGGCAACAAGACAGGGCTGACACACAGTTACTCACTTCACAATCTGAAACACATCGCCATCGTGTAGATTTCTCTGGGATAAGGACTATACCGCTCCAGCCTGGTTCTATATCCACTTAGCGTTTTTATTTTCAACCGTACTTGGGTTTCTTGGTGTAGCTAGCCTGATACCCACCACTTCAACTTCTTCTTTTCGGATCACTCAGCTTTGTGTAACAATCTCTTGCTCATGTATCTGAACCGCACCCTCTTTGAGGCTCAAATATACATGTCGTAGCGATGGGAATCTTCTCCAAACTCAAGAACGATGTGCCGGTGAGTCAGAGCCCGCTTTCTCACTGTTTGCCAGAGTCTGGTGCTAAACCTAAACCCCGCCAAAAGGACGACACAATTGGGCGCATCCTGACCCGCAACCCCAACGTCGTAAAGATAGAACAAGTGAAAGAACGAAACGTGAAATTCATGCCATGGCTTTCGTCCAAGAAGACTACAGTCTTCTATTTCCAGCCTGAGGTACAGCAAGAGCAACAATCAGAGCCTTCTGAGCACTCGTCTACTCGCGCAGCCTTACCCGCGCCGGCAGTAACGGAGACGGCGTTGGTGAATGCAGACAAGAAACCAGCGACCACAACTCAGGCTTCTTCGTTATCGATAAAAGATGAGAAGGGTAGAGGACAGGAATATGTTAGCTGGAATGCGATGCAGCTCGCTGGAACGCTTATGGCCGCTGCAACGGTGGCTGCGGCGGGCGGCAAGCAGGCTTATGATCTATACAGGCGATACAGCGAAAAGAAGGAGTGATACATGGCCTGCATTGTTCGTTGTATTCATGTAGCCTGTTTGAATGATCTGCAACCATGTGGCGATGAGCGAGTAGAGGTCAAATAATGAAGATGATCAGTACTAAACCGTCTGCTTCTGTTCTTATTCTCTTGCGATTGTGTTGGTTAGCTCACGATTGAAAACCACGCAAGAGACGATGTATTCCACGGATTCGACTCTGATCAACGGATCCCAGTGTGTCCTAGCTCGTCCCCTTGCTTTCTGCAGCGCGTAGAGGGGCAAATTATACAATGCATACGGATCTTGAGATAGTCATCTTCTTATCTCGGAGGCTGCCGGGATGCCGCGGTCTTCCTCCAAGTAAAGCTAACGCAATCGCAATATAGTATGGCAACCAAAAAGATAGCCACAAGGCTCATCTGCATGGCTATGGTGGACATTTGAAATTTCATTTCTACTTTATCACGAGGCAAAACCTGACATCCACGATAGTCGTTTCAAAGACACGCACTTTGCCCAGGACAGATAGATCGGCCAAACGTTCATTTTAGTCACCTTCCGCAGGCATAGCTTCGCCGTCGGAGCCCCATGCCTCCTGATAGAGGGCGTGCTGGTCGCGCATGCGTAGCGTGCCGCAAGCAAAAGACACGCTGTTACGCCGGTGAACGTCCTGGAGCATCCTGTCTGCGATGCAACACCTTGCGTCAAAGTTGCAGCTTCACAACTGAAGCTGAAGTGCAAAGTCCAAGTCTAGCAACCCCTGCACTCGGATCTGTGTCTGCCACAGATGCAAGGTAAGCGATCTGGAGACTCGTTGATCTTTGTTTGATCACTTATGCCATGTGAAGATTAGATCGGCTGGAAACAACGGTCAATTTGCTTCTCAAGAGGTTGGGCGATGGACCGAGCACTGTCCAGACTCGGTCGCCGACGCCATCAAGGGCGCCAACTCACGACAATGATCAAAGTTCCGCTAGTAGGGATCGTGGTGCATCTTTAGATGCAGACGCCGTCGCACCGGTCTTCATTCTTCGTGATCTGGCCGCCGAAACTGGAGCTGCAACTGGATCTAATGGACGGATAGCCGATGGTCAACTTTCGGTGGACGCGGAAGACATCATCAGTGCGGGCGTTCTGGCGGAGCACGACGCTATCAAGTTAATTTCAATGTAAGTTTCGCAATTTCTAACTGCTTGTATACTATACAGGTTTGTAAGCTTCATGAGATTTCAATTGCTTCAATCTAGAGTTCTGAGTAAGAATGCTTACGTAGTCCTAGTTTTCAAGAGCACTACGGCCGATGGGTTGCTTTTGACCCTACATCACAGCCCGAGACTCTACTGCAAACGATTCGCAAGTCTCCCCTGCTCCTATGTGCTTGCTGTTTGATATCAATTCGGCATTTTTCAGTCGCAGCAGCTGAAGCTCTTGCACCACGACTTTTCGACATTTCCAAGTCACTGCTCTCTTCCGCGCTGCTGAAAACTCCTCAAAGCTTTGAATTTTTTCAATCTGTGATCATACTTTGCATGTGGTCTACAACCGTTGGTCAAAATCCGTTAAGCATCGACAGCTGGTTGGTTTCTGGCTTCGCCCTGCAGCACTGCTTCTCAACAAAGCTGTTTCAGTCGATCGTTGCGGACAGCTCGAAAGTCAGCCAAAGTCGGCATTTACTAGATCGGCTGCGAGTATTCAATCATCTGATATTGGTACATCTCCAGTGAGTCCTCATTATCACAGTGCACAACGATGTCCTTACTTTGTTAGCTATTGCTGTGGTACTAGACGCCGCTCAATTGTGGGTAGACATCAAGTTGAGAAATGCAAAGAGATACTGAAGTCCGACCACGCCACGAATTTTGAGCAGCGCATGGTTGCGGAAGTCAACCTATACTGGATAATCTACGAACAATGCACGGGATCTACCCTCGATCTCCCGAAGGTGCAGGCAAGCTTGCACGAATGGAAGAAACAGTGGAGTTTCGTTCTTGGTATTCTAAGTCCTATGAACCTCGAACAGATTGCACTAACGACACATTAGAACAACCTCGGTCTCAATTTCTGGAAATGGGTCACCACTTTGCTCAGCTCCTTGCGTACGAACGTGCTCTCAAATCTCGATCCGCCAGAGTTCGGGACTCCTTATTAAATGAGATGGTGAGACTTTCAGTTGCGATCATCAAACTGGCCATGGACAATGCAGATGAGCGTACAGCGCATCTGAGCGATCATATATATCACATCAAGACATTTGCGGCTGTGACTCTGTGCCGACTATTAAATTTCTATGAAGCTCAGTTGGCCACGACTCATGAAATAGCAGAACTCGACAGTCTTATAATCAAGTTTATTGACTGGCTCAAATCCATCGGGCTGTCTTGTCACTCTGGATACACCTTGGGGCTTATAGTTGCAGCTTTTCACAAGAAACTTCGGCCAGATGCACAACCACTACAAAATCCAACCATGGACCTGCCTGAGGATGGCTGGATGGTGGAGAACTTCGTGCCTGCCTTTCTACCTGATCTTCTTGATACCGAAGTGTCACCTGGCGGGAATTGGGAATGGAACGCTGACTGGGAGCCTTTTACAACTGGACCTCTAACTTAATCATTAATCGATGCCTTGATCAGAGATGCCCTTTTCTGTTTGAAGGTTAATTTATTTGCCAGTATACATCTTCTCCAACCATCTGAAGATAGGGAAAGATATTCCTGAGAAAAGGAAGGTTAACTCATGACCAATGTTCGCGCCGTGCGCACCGATGAGCTCTGCAACGGGACCGACAAACCAAGCCGTCTTCATTCCAAGCACAGCGCCAACGAAGCCGAATATGAACGCGCCAATAGCAGCCCATCCAAATGGCAATAAATCAGCCCTATTCCAGGCATCCCAATTGTATGAGCTATACCGACCCTTGCGGTAAATTAAATGTTCCTCGGAAACAACAACCAAATGTATAATAGTCCAGTATCCAATGATGGAGAGAAACGTTTGCAGAGTGTCTGTGAAGTACTTTGCCGCAAAGGTTCCAGTTACGATGGCTGCGACGAATCCGATGGTTACAAACGCAATCCTTGGCACCTTGATTGCCCATGGACCCCCGTTCTGTGCATGATGAGCAAAGGCGTAATTGTTCGGGATGTTGTTTGGTATCGAGGAGAGAGCTGCGAAGACGAGGCAGAGCTTGCCGAAGCCTCCAGCCGGTTGAATGGCTAGTTTAAGTGGTCCGCCAAATCCGTGTTGAACGAAAGAATGCTTCCACTCAGGATTCGCTTGCACACCGCTGTAAACAGCTGCTCCAAATGTCTGAACCAAGATAGTTGGCACGGCTATACCAATGTAGGTGGACACGAATAGTTTCCATCGAGGTGTGTAGAGTGGCATTCTGACCTATATTTTCTCAGCTTCGCTTTGCAACGTTTATACTACAAGATTGAAGGTCTCACATTGAAGTCGCTCGCACAATTGATCCAAGAAACTGCGAAGGAGAAGATGACTGCCAGGAACGACAAGGCGGCGGCAGCTCCATTTGGTCCTGTCGGTGATTTGACAGCGTCTCCAGAAAAGTGCTTGGCTCCAGTGCCAGCAGCGACACACCAGCAGAGGAATGGGAAAAACCAAAGTATTGAATCCAGCTTATGTATCCACATAATGCCGAGCGAGCATATTATCCAGACAATGGTGCAGATAATGATCACGCCAGCCCAAGTTGGGCACTTGCCATTAGACAACGCGTTGAGAACAGACGCGCCTGATATGGAGTTTATAACGTTCCATCCAGTCGTTGAGACCATGGAGAATACCACGACAAGAAGGTTTCCCCAGTATCCGAACGAATATCGGCTAAATGTAGTCATCCTCAAGCCGGAAAGTCCAAAGCCTGCCGTCCACGCCGGCAGCATGCAAGCGAATAGGTTGACGACAACTATGATCGCGAAGGAATCCCCTGCGATGCTACACATCAGCATATCGTCGAATCCAAAAGAAGTCAACGTACAAAATGAAAGTCCCATTACGCCGCCCAAAGAGCCCGTATTGGCCGTTGCGATTGCCATATTAGCACTCGCCCTGGAGATGCAATTAGTGAAGCAATTCCAAGAAATCAACAACTATTTTGTACCAGAACGTGCACGCTTGCCATACATTCGTTGTGTTATGCAAGCGTTCTTCGTCAGTGACGCGTTGAATGCCCTTCGTCTCGACCGTCGTGAAAAGACCTTTGGCCCATGATGTAATCCGAAAGGTTTTGGAAATAGCTTCCTCTTTCATTGAAGCTGCTTCAACGTCCGATGAGACGTACTTTTGCCCAATTACCGGCATTGCAGACTTCTCTACATCGGCCATGCTGACATAAAGCGATAGTTGGGCGTTTTCAGGTGTTATCGAGGCACCAATTTGCTAGCTGATCCTTCCATGGCATTTTGACAGGTTTAAGTCTATATATGTTCATCTCAAGCGCTGTGTGGAATACTAGTGCTCTATAAAGATAACGCTTTCCACTTATCATGCCCACCGGATCAGCCGTTGGCATGCCATCGGTAAGCCGGTGGATCGTGCCGAACCCGTCTCAAACCAAGAACTTCAAGCAATCCACATTCAAAGGACAGATAGGACTATAAAAGACAAGAGACCGCGCAATGGCGTATATCAGAGGGATATCGCATCGTCTCATTCTCAAAAGCATAGTTTCCGGTTAAATATCACACTAGCGATCATGGAGCAGAATCCGCTTGTTCGACGAGGTGTCGGTCTCCGGGGCGTCGATCATTCGGCAGTATCACCTGGATACGCTCTCTTTACTCACTTGACCAGCACCGGTATTGTTAGACTTGTAGACAATGACGGAAATGAGGTGCACAAATGGAGTCTGCCGTTTCGCCCTGGCAGACATGCCCGTCTGTTGCGAAATGGCAACCTAGCCTACAATGGTGTCCATCCCGATGGGCCACATCTCTACCCAATGTGGCAAAAGGTTGGTGCCACCCGATCATGTGAAATAAGAAAGGAACTGCGTTGACTTAAAAAGTACCGCGGCGGTGTAATGATGGAGGTTGCTCCCGATGGCAAAGTTGTGAGCGAATACCGGGATCCCCTGGCCCATCATGACCAGAATCACCTGGATGACGGTACTCTCTTATATACCACCTTAGAGCCGATGACCGAGGAAGAAGCTTCTTCTGTCGTTGGGGGGATTCCTGGATCAGAAGCGTACGACGGCAAAATCTATGCAGATGTCATCAAACTTGTCGACCCCAAGACAGGAGAGCTGCTGTGGAAGTGGCGAGTCGCTGAGGGCCTAGATCGAACCAAGTTCCCCTTACAGCCTATTTACGCAAGGGAGCATTATCCACTGATCAACAGCGTATCGATTCTACGCGATGGAAACATTCTGGCCTCATTGCGCTCAGTCTCTGCGGTCATCATAATCAACCGAAAAACAGGCGAAATAATGTGGCACCTGGACTCTACGGTTGTCGCCCAGCAGCATTGTGCAAACGAACTTGAAAACGGAAATATCCTTATTTTTGATAACGGGGCGCTTCGACATGGCACGAGCGCGGTTTATTCTCGTGTTATCGAGGTTGATCGACAGACCAAACAAATAGTATGGCAATATACGGACCGCGTCTTTCCCATGGCGTTCTTTACGCCCTTCATGGGCTCGGCACAAAGACTCAAGAATGGGAACACTTTCGTTTGCGAAGCTGCCTTTGGTCGAATGTTTGAGGTCACTCGAGATGGACGAATCGTCTGGGAGTATATTAACCCCCATCTGGCCAGCTACAATGGTTTGGACGCAAAGGAGCTAGAAGACATTGGATTTGATTATCCAAGTAATGCGTTATTTCGGGCGTACAAGTACTCCCCTGACGAAGTTCCGTGGCTAAGCTTGCCCTCACCCGCGGCTACACCATAGACAACCAACAACTGTATACCTTTTCCAGTCGACTGTATCAGACCACGTTGTTAGATTACTTCATGTTTTGTATGTTTCCATTAGCTTGACTTTGTAAAATTTTTTCGCTACTCAACCCATTTTGGTCTATGCCACGAATCATCATGGCCGTGATAAGACTGGTTGGGGCTACTCACTGTGTACCACGTGTCACGATTCACTTCAATCGTCCAAAGAAGGAATGGAAGCATACGTGGGCGCTGCCAATAACGATAAAGCCTCGAATATTCGCTTCTTGCGTACTAACGTGTATTATGAAACTGTCATCTGGACCGTATATGGTTATAGACGCGAGCGACATTCCAGAACTGTGAATCTAGACCAGTCAATATTCCTACCGCTTAGAAACCTCGAGCATCTAAGCCTAATATTTAGAGGAGTTAACAATAAATGCGGGGAATGCTTGCTCCGATCATCTTAGCGAGGCTGAGTGCTAGGCTTGATTGGTCAAAGACACAACATCTCTTGAGTACTGCAGCTTCCAGCTCGTTTCCACTCGACGCCCGCATGATCGCTCGCGGGGGGATATGAGGAGGTGATCCTCGGGCTTTGTGCCCGCACGCGGGGATATTTCTTGGATTCCGATGACCATCGTGGCTTTTTATAGGTAGAAAAACTCGGCCTTGCTTCAGCCTCGTGCAAGCAGATATCTTTGTTTATCGAACAAACATGGCCGAAATTTCGCCTGCAGACGCGCAACTCGACGTGAAGAAGGAGGGAATTGAGAAAGTCGAACATGTCAACAGCAACGACGCCTCTTCAGATGAAGCACCGGCTGTCAAGCACAAGATCACTACAACCCAATGGCTAGCCATAATTGCCCTCGCTTTGTCTTACATGACTGCGTTCCAGCAGGGCGCATGTACTGCAGCGATTGTGAAAAGCATTGATGAGGCTCTTGGTGGGCAACAATAGGGTATCAAACACAGTTGACGAGTCTGACTATGAGCTCCAGGTCCTACGACATATTACAATTGGATGCTGACGGCAAATACGATCACATCAACAATCTCTCTGCCCGTTGCAGGGGGTTTGAGTGATATATTCGGACGAAGATGGTTCATGATCTGTGGTGGCTGTTTGTCTTTGCTCAGCGCGATCATTGCACTTTGCGCGAAGAATATCAACACCATGATCGCAGCGTCGGCAGTTGGAGGCTTGGGCAGGTGAGCAAGGAGAAGTTTTTCTAGTTCTGCCGTAACTCACGATGACACAGTGGCTCGCAACAGTTGGCGTTAGTACTCGTCAATACTTAACTATTTCATATATTTACGTGCTACTAGGCTTGCTGCCGTTGCAGAACTCGTTCCAAATAACAAAAGGGGTATAGTACAAGGTTGTCTTGATGTCCTATTGCTTCCTTGGTCTGTTTTCGGAGTAAGTTATCAACTCGAACGTCGATGAGATCAGGCTGACTTTGTCTGTCTAGGCTCTTACAGGTATCCCTCAACCCCTTATTGTTGAATCTAAATTAGATTAACTAACTGAGGGCAGGTGGTGCTATGGTTACTTATGTATGTATGGTTGCCACACTTCGTGAAAATGTACATTGACAGCAGTTTAGCACGGGAAGTACGGGTTCCGAATTAATTGTAAGTCATGTTGTCGGGGCCAGATTCTACGCGGTTTTGTAGCAAAGGAAAGGCTAATACGGATCACACTTCAGTCATCATCGGCATTGTGCTCAATGCTGTTTCGATTGCGCTTGCCTATCTCTTCTACTTTCCCGTAGGTCATGCTGCTTTTGTAATCTCGCTCTCATCGACTTACAAGCAATAGCCACGAGTCGGGTTGAGAATTGGTACGAGAACAAAAATCGAAGCACTGCGGCAGCTGGACTGGACCGGAGTGTTTCTGCTCAACTCTGGTCTGATCCTGTTCCTCGTCGCTATTGGCCTCGGCGGTACAACATTTCCATGGGGTCATGCAGGCTTTATTGCACCATTTGTGGTCGGCGTAGTGCTCATTGCTATATTCATCGTGTGGGAAGCCAAATTTGCATCTTTCCCATTCTTGGATCATGATCTATTCAAAGGCAAGACGAGAACGTTCTCGCTCTACCTAGTAGTCGACTTCGTCGCTGGTATGGGCCTATATGCAGCCGCGGCGGTACGTCTCATCCAATAGTCGAACCAAAGCTTTTTGATTTTTTTTCTTAACCTTTATACAGTTCTGGGCTCAACTGGCACGTGGAATTTGGGAAGCAAGTCCCATCAAGGTCGGAATTTTGTGCATTCCAGGCGGAGCCTGCGGCGCAGTAGGTGGATTCTTTGCTGGAATGTTGATCGGTCAGCACAAGTTACTCAAAGCCAATCTTTGCTTGTGCTACGGCACCGCCGTAATGATGACAGGCAACTGGGTACGGAACTCCTCTAACGTTTGTTTGAAGTGGGATTACTAACAAGAACACAGTAAGCTGCGAATTTTTTTATACAGCGCCGATTCAAGACACATTTTCATAAATCGTACTCAAGAACACAACATGTTGGACATCGAAAATACGGTTCAGTTATTGCCATAAGATACATTTCAGCTCACGATACTAGGGCATTAACTCTTGTCTCGCCTGATGGGCCCCATGGCATTCCTTATGCTCTTGGAATTGCATCAATAGCGATGCTGGGAACAGGTAAGATCAATCATATCATGATGACGTGGAACTTCCTCGGTCATGAGGATTCAATTGGCTAGCAACTGACATTTGACAGGTTGGACTCTCATTGCACTCATCGTGTGCGTTCAGCTTGCCGTTGAAGACAAGGACATAGGCTCAGGCACACTTCTTCTTGGATCTGTTCGTGCGATCGGTGGCAGTGTTGCAATCACTATCTATTCTGCCCTTCTCCAAAACAACTTCGTCGCTCAGAGCCAAAACATCGCGCTGCAGCTCCTGGAAGTTGGCGCTCCTCTCGAAATTATACAACCTCTGGTTCTGAATTTGATAAACGAAAACTTCCAGATCGCTGAGGCTCTTCCGGGGGTGACGCCTCAGATACTCAGTGCAGCTAGGCAAGCCCTTAAGTCCACCTGGGCCACGGGCTTCCACCACGTATATTACTGCGCGGCGTCGTTTGGAGCGGCCGCATTCGTTGCAGGTTAGTTTATAGAGACCATAGCGTGCAGAGGGGACTTGTTAACGCGACGCAGCACTTCTTTCGAAGGACGTTAGCCACAACATGACTACTCATGTGGCTATCAAGTTGGAAAACGACGTGTCGCAACGAAAAGACCAGGAAGTATTCCAGGACGAGAAACATTGAACATCCTCAAGGGCCGGACATATTCGGCAATACGGGTGAAATTTTTTTTCTTGTCCGGATTCAAGGCTGTCTCGTTGGCCAAGGATGCAACGCTGCGAGGTGGGCAAGCTTCTTTTTGAGATCGTGGAAGGAGTGAGATTGTAGTACACTCGTTTGAACCTCGTACACTTTTAAATTTTCTTGAGTAATATGATAAATCTTAATGACAAATGCTTGTCACAATGGGGATTAGATTCGTTGGAAGCGAGGTAGCAGTGCCCTACGCAAATATTACGCGCCGCATGTGAGGTTTTGCTTGAGCTTCCTGGGGGATTTAGGGCAGGGAGAATGGGAGATACCCGAGAGTTTTTGATTCCCTACGGCGGCTTGGTAACTTGTCCTGGGGAGCGCATGGAGCTTCTTCTGATCAACCTCGTTTACTGTCGATTGAATTGGGTCCCAAGTTTTACTCCTTGTTTACCCGCTACACGTGTGACGTGACAACAGATGCCGTTTCTGACATGATCGAACGTCACCTGACGAATCAACTGGCATTCCATGGATGAACGTGACAACAAAGGTCCACCCGGAAAAGCTGATGACAGTAGCAACATGCAAATGCAGACTGCAAAAAGAGAGAAAAAGAAAAGAGGTTCTACAAGGTCGAAGATGATTGTACGGAAGTTAATGATGCACATCAATCTACGCAGCGCTCTTCGATATGATCCAGACGTAATGAACATGCCAGGTACTTTCATCGGAACCTTGAAGCAGTGCCGTAGCACGGGTAGTTTCTGGCAAGGCGTCTCGCTCCTCGACCAAGGCCTCTGAAAGAAGTCGTTCATGCTCACTCCGTCTTACACTCGGGGGGGAAAGGTCCCCAAGAGCAGGATCACAGACAGCACCCGCAGATCTTCATCTTCCGTGGTCCGCGTCAAGTACAAGCAGAGAGCCGCAGACGAAGGTCCCAGCGAGCGACCGAAACGCAGAGGAGAAGAGAATGAAAAAAGAAGGAAAAAAAAAAATTGGAAAGAAACCAACGGCTGGGATCGTCGCAGGCATTCCCCAATGGTCTCTTGGAACAGTTCCTTACTTACCCGCGGCGATTCTGCCAAATCATGTCATGGCGCCATGCACAGCGCTCACTCTGGGTCCGCAGGCATACCCACCGTGGACTTCCGGGCCGTCTTGCCAGCATGGTGGTGTACGCCTGTGCCACGACGAGCTGCCATGCACGATCCTTGCTGCGTGCATGAAAACTTGGATGCGGAGAATGTACGAGGGAGACAAGGGGCGGACGCGAATGCAGGCCTAGGCAAGGGTGGCTGTCACTTGGAGATCGTCATTCTCTTCTCTTTCAAAAGAAAAAAATTTTTTTCTTTCATTTTTTTTTTCTTTCTTTCTTTTCACTTTGGCGGGCCCGCCCCGGTGCTTGCCGCCCTTTTAACGTGGTAAAAGCGCAGAAGGCCGTTCTGAAACCCTTTTTGGCGTGCGCATGAGAGCGGTGGGTGTATATGTGACATGCCTTGGCGATGGGCTTGCGACCTGCAAGCACGCTCATCAGATCGGCAGTCAATCCGCGCGGGTGGAACAGACTACGAAAGCGGCTTGACACCCGAGCCGACGTTGTGAAAAAGCTTCGTTTCCAAGGTCGTCGAGGGATTGATCTGTTACTAGGTGCTCGACACGTGTGAACCGCAAATGCCCGAACCATTGCTTTGGCGTCGAAACGCCGTGAAACAAGTCTGTAGCAGTGTTTCTGTTCGCATAGAAAAGGAAACATGCCTCACCTACAGGCGCGTAACCCGAGAGCATGCAAGAGTCATTTAGGGCACTCACGCGGGCGATCTCTTCGCTCAATCAAGATTCATGCCGGCTGCCAAAATTCACGTGAAGGGGTCGCGAACTTTTCAAATTGGTTTGATATCTCGAAATGGATGACGCCTTGTAGCGTGTGTGTTAGCCCCAGGAGCATAGAATGTTTCTATCATAAAACAGCTGAGAGAGTGGAATCGAGCAACCGCCGGCAGGTTCAGAGATCGACATCAGCAAAGCATGGATTACATACATACGCTTGCAGCGCGACAGCTTCCTGGACTAATGGACGAATAAAGACACAAGGTGTTACGCATCTGTACAAAAACGCTGCAAATAAACAACTGGTGGTATATGTGTATGTATGTATATTATGATTCTTCGGCCAAAGCACCATCGTCGCCAACTTCGCGCCATTCCTTGCTCTTTTCGGCAAGCGCTTTGATTCCCGAAATGCGCTCTGCCCATAGGCTCTCCGCGGGTGTGCGGAATGTGTAGCCGCGTTGTGAGCTGATGACGCCAATTGCTTGCAAGACCGCCTTTCTTGAATCGCGTGAAAACACGGCTGGATGATTGATCCATTCAAGGCTGGATTCAAGCTCGGCATCAAGGGCAGCAACCGTCCGTGCATCCACACTTGAGGATGCCCTGAGAAGATCTCGCCTTTCGTTTGACTGTGGAGGAGACCCGTTGGCCTTTCGATCTGGTACATCCGGCGATGTTGGCGCCGCTGAATTCTTGTCGGGACCTTTGTCTGCAGCTTTATCGGAAGGTTTCTCTCCGTTCGCAGATGCAAGTCCTGGCGATCTCGAGGCGGGCGGAACCGAAGGTGTGCTGCTGCCAGGAGGTGGAAGTGGTGGCAGCCCTCCCTTGCCTAGTCCCTTGAGAATACTCCTAGTCTCACTCAGCAGATGATGCGCGCGTTCGTGTTGGCCTCGGGACACGAGAGTCAATGCGCGAGTAAGCATGTCGGATGTTAGAAGCTCCATTCGCCGCTGTACAATTGAAGGATGTGGTGGGATAGGAGGTGTCAACGGGCGAATCATGGATTTGGCCCGTGGAGAAGAAGGAAGCATGGTGATGGCTAACAGAGAGGGCCGAGGCAGCTGTGCCTGTGCGCCATCTCTCTGGAGATCGCCAAAAGTCAGATCAGCTTGTATCAAAGGAACCTCTTCGACACTCAGATTGCGATGCTCCTCTTGATCGAGCGGCCCGCCCAGTGCTTCGAGACCAGAAAGAATGGTCTCCCACGGATCTTGAGGCAATTGCTCGCTCGAGGCGTTGTCAGCCTGGATCGCAAGCTGCACCAGAATGTCTGCGGTGCCAAAAAGTCATTAGCACGTTTTCACTGCACGCGAACGGTCGAGTCTCACCTCGTTTATCACCAAATCTCAGATCGCCGAGTGCAGCCTCGGCGTCGCGTCCGCTGGCCCTCTTCGTGATGTGCAAAGCACCGCTAATCTTCACGAATTTGGCGGGCGAGCCTTCTGGTAGACGGAGTTTGAGCTTAGCGTTTTGGTGAGAAGTCGTCTGCAAAGAACCCAGGCACCCGGCTACACATTCTCGGAGCATCATCCAGTCCTTGACGTAGGTGTATGAAGCCTTTGTACGCGTAGAAAGCTCGATCATGGTGTCTGGTTTGTGAGTGAGGCCAAGGCCGAAGGAGTGGATTGTGACCCTGACACGGGAAGAGTTAGGACGAGCAAGGGAACGAGGGCGACGGTCACTTACTTGGCAGCCTCTGCTCGCTGCACGACAAAGTCAACGCTCTCCGCGTCGGACGTCGACGAGTCGCTGATGAGCAGGATGCTTGATATCGGATTCGCCGATTTTCTCTGCATCAGCAGATCCATGGCGACGTTTGCGCCTTCCACCACGTCCGCCCGCAGACTCTTCTGTCCAACCGGACGAATGGACTCCAACACGCGCGACCATCCATCCCAAGATTTCGAGGTCATGCTCACCACCGGCACACCACCACCGCTCGAGCCGAACGTTACCAAACCCATGCGGTCTCGATCGCCCAGGCTTGTGACGAGAAACTTAAGCGCGTCCCGCAAAAGGGATATCTTCAGTCCTTGCATGGAAGACGACACTGGAATAACCAACACGATGTCCAGAGGAACGTGCATGTTCTGCAACAGTCGCGTGTCTGGCGCTGATCGCGAGTACTCTGTTGGGGCTGTGGTGTACGACTTGGCCGCCCCGTACGCAGACGCTTGGGAGGAGTAACGATAGCCCTTGACGCCACGCTCATCTTCTTCGTCCGTCGCCGAGGTTTCTTGCTCATAGTCGCCAATCCTGCCGGACCCACGGGGGTTATTAATGTCCAGCAGGGCTTGCTTCCACTGCTCCATGTCAACAGGATTCGAGAACTGCAGATGAAAAGAGGGGAGTTCCGCCACGGATAGGCTGAGGGTCAAGAGATTCTCGTCTGCACTCGTTAGCGTTCGTCCTTGGTCTCGGAAGCAGCACGAACGAGGAGAACTTGCCTGGATATGTTTCCACTTCGCGCAGATGCTTTTTGATCAGGATCGAGCCTTTCAAGGTGCACTTGGTTTTCCTCGAATCCGAAGCGTTGTCGTAGATTGGGGTTGGTATCGGCTTCCTCTCTTTCACGCAGATGAGCATCTCGTCAAAAAGATAACAGTCCAAATCTTGCCACGACCTCCTGTCTTTGCCAACGCGAATTTGACTGTGAAGCTTGAGCTTGCCAAACCGAGAGAAATCAAGACCATGCCAGTTTTCCACTTTGGCTTGCAATTCGGCCGTCAACTCATCCATGCGTTGGTCGGAATACCGCGAAGGGGGCTTAACAGGTATTGGCCTAATAGGTCCGAAATCGTTCGCTGCGACCGGCGCCCTGGCCGGAAGCGGACGCATGTCGGAGATTCTGGGTCTGTACTGACCCGCGGGAACTTCTACCGTCACCAGACACGTAAGGGCTTGTTGCTGCCGCGACCTCGTAATTGTGGGAAATTCGCTCTTGACGGTCACGCTGGGCGTGGGGATGGAGCTCTTTGCGGCATTCGCCTGCGGACTGCCGAGCGAGGTCTCCATGGACTGGACGTCATAATCATGTCGTCTGGGCTGCGGCTGGGCATCTGCGTACTCGGTCAGAGACACCATTCCCGTGGTGCCGCTGTGGTTTCGCGAATGTTGGGCATCTCTTTCGTTGCCAAGGCGTGAGCTCGTTCGGGGCGGTGGCACTCCGATGAGAGCTTCCCTCGGCACGGGAGATCGAACAGAATTCTCGCGCGACATAGTCGACTGTTCATACGGGCCTCTCTGCTCGATAGATTGTCGAGTATCCCATGGCCCAGGCGATTGACTCACTTGTCCCCTCGGCGCATATTCGCTGATTTCAGGCATGGGAGGCTGTCGCGTCAGCTTCGTGATTTTCTCTGACAAAGAAGGTCAGTAAGATATGGGGTTGTTTCGAAAAGTCACATATGATTCACCTATGTCCAAGACATTGCCACCTCTGCTGCTGTCCAGACCCAATGGCGAACTACACGTTGGGCAGTATTGCGACTCAACCTCGCGGAGGTATTCGTAGAAGCACGCCTCGTGGGCGACATGGCCACAAGATAGCTGCAGGATCCGCTCTCCCTTCAGAGTATACTCCAGATGCTCTTCACATACTGCGCATTCGCTACCGATGAAGGTCCTGTCCTTTCTCGTCCGGGAGCGGTCGAGGTCCAGCACACCCGCCATGCCACTTCGAGCGCGGGGAGCTTCCTTCCTCGGATCGCTCCCTTCGCTGTACTGAGAACTGCGGGCGCTTCGAGAAGCGTGAGATGAGGTTCTAGAAGGAGCTAGGCGGTCTAATTAGGGCACAATCAGCGAATGCGCAAAGACTACACAGATGATATGTCGCTCCATACGCAAAGAAAGGAAGCGACCGACGTTTGTCTGCGGCAGCAGCCTGAAACTCCACCGCCTTTCGCTTTGACTTGTGCGATCCAGTTCCGCCTAGCAAGCCGAGCTTTTCAAGATTATTTTCGATGTCCTTTGCCACGGGCGCAGATGACTTGGAGGCTTTGCGAGAGGAGTGATACAGATGACGATGCGATTCGCCTGACATGGACTTGAAGCTGGCGGATCAGCCCATGCGAAGGAATGATGTTTCACAGCACGGTCAGAGATTTGAGGACGTCCGAGAGTTTGAGCAGGGGCGTTGATATATGGGGTTGCCGAATTCGAGACGATTGCGAAGCGAGCAAACCAAACGGGAGAAAAGCCGAATCAGTGGCCACCGGCTCGTGCAGTCAATGGGCACACACCAGGAGGGACGCAGAGATTGGGATAGATGGAGGGAGGGAGAGGGGGGGGGGGGGGG